AACTCTAGGAGTTTTACCTGAAGTTATTTCATTTACATAATCTAAATTGGCAACTATTTTTGGCAACAGTGTTTTCATATGTGTTTTATAAAGCAGATTTCAGCAAAGCTTCCTCAGAAATTTCTGTACCTAAGAAAGATAAAATCTGTGTTCAGTATGTTTCTCCTATCAAAGCTCACAAGAATGTTGACCTTGAGTTCATGCAGTTTTTCCCAGAAGACAGTATTTCACATGAACTCTAGTTGAATTTGTAAATTATTTGCTCACAAATAACAAGTGGATATTTTAGGAGATGTTTTGCTGTTGACCTCCCAGAAGCTGCACAGCTTTTTCAGCATCCCCTCAATTAAGGAAGTGTTAAAGCAGTGTCTGAACTCAACCTCAGTTTTATTGCACACATGCACAGAGAAAGTACCCATCCATGCTGTCCTGGTTCCAGAAATTGAGGAGCAGGACAAGGGGATGGTAAGAGCTGGTACAATGGGTGTGGAAGGTACTGCATGTGCTACTGGCCTACTTCTAGATCTACTTGTGGATGTTTGGAGAGTGCTGCACAGGAATACTTCAAAACAGAAAACAGAGATCCCATGTTTGAAACAAGCAGGTTCCTGACAGATCTGATTTGTTTCAGAGAAGGAAGCTGCTATTAGTTTAGTGCTTTGTGGGATTCTTCTAACAGCTGAATTCTTAATTTTGTATTTTTTACAGTTACTTAGAACTTTCAATTATTGTTGTATAATATTCTGGGATTTAAATTCTACAACTCTTGTTTATTCTGTTAGCTCCTGAAACATCACATACTTTACTACTTCAGAATAATTAGATTCTAAAAGACAGAAGCACAGTCTTATCCTGTGCTGTCCTAATATGCAGAAAATCTCTCTAAATCAAACTGAGACTGGTCCTGAACACCAAGACTGCTGTACAATATAACATCACAGAAAGAACTGCAGATCCAAAAATCCATATTTTATTTTACATTACATAATCCACCAACACTTTTCATCCTCCTTAAGGCTAGGCATCTTTCTTGATAACTGCCATTGTAGGCTCCTGTCAAAATCAAAACAGAAAGGCTAAGTCGAGACCTCCATGGGGTGATTTAGTTCCCTTCAGATCACCTTCTGAGGTATTTATATCTATTTATTGATAATAAAGGGAACTGTAGCACTGAGATATCTTTTTCTCTCTCAAATTTTCTGTGATTAATCCTTTCTTGGTTGCATGGGTTTTTTTCTCTGACACATTGTTTCAAATCATAAGGTCTTGACTTGTCTTGCTTGGACTAGATCATTGCTGGGATTTGTCTAGATCATTGTTGGGGTTTGTCTTCATCCTTTCAAGCAACTTATCCCTAGTGCTTCCTCTGGATGAGAACTGTGAGTGAGTAATTGCCATTGAGGCTACAGTACTGGCATTCTACAGGTGTTCTGTAAGTTAAATGTGTGGAATCGTCCTTATTTTCTGATGATGAAAGCACTGAAGTGTAAAAAATGTTAAGATTGACATCAGTGAGCTTTCCATGAAAGCTTAAGCAAAGTTTGTACAGGTTTGAGTATGAAAAAATTAACTGCCCATCTCAAAGACTTTGCAGACACAAAGCTTCACAAGCTTAATCATTCTACACTGGTGATATATGACTAACATGGCTATAAAATTCAAAATAACTTTTAATAGATGATTCACTGTGTCACAGAAAGATGCATGAAATACTCATTCACTATTATTTGTCTTCTTGTACAGTTTACAGAAATAATTAGTACTCTATTTGACAAACAAGTGCAAACATCCATTGGCTTAATGACACAACACATATTATGACTAGGTCTGTAAATCTTGCTAGAACTCTCAACAGTGGCTGCTGAACAGTCTGTTATATTGTCTGTTATGTTTTAGTAGATGTAAAATTGCTCTGGTTACAAGGACACTGAGATGTTTAAAGAAAGAAAGAAAAAAAAATCATTGGACAGCCTAATCTGTCTTTGAAATCAGAAAAAAAGGAGAAAAAAATATCCTTGTATATAATCTATAAATTACAGATATGTGAAAATGGTCTTACAGATTTACTGATCTGCAAATGAGTTCCATTCCCAGATCTATAAACAATTATCACCAAAGGTGAAAGAGTGGAGTAGAGCATAAATTTTGTTGTGTTTACTGTTTGTTCTGTAATAACATTGAAAATTGTCAGCTGCATACAAGAGCACAGAAGGAGCCTTTTTCTACTATACTCTGAGTGCAAAGGACAGCCTGAATAATGACATCTAAAAACTCTGAGATTAGCCAATCAATTGTAACCTCAGATAATTAATTTTTTCACTTTTCACTGGAAAACTTCCACCTGAGTTGTAAGATATAAGATGGAACATGCCTACCTGTGTAACCCACCATGTATAAGATTCTGATATGGAGATGTAAATGATGGCTTTATAGATTATGCAGATAATACAGATTATAAGGTAAAATTCATTTTCTGTGGGTTTCCTGCTAGTTATGGTAAAGTTATTTTGAAAATACTTTTTTTATGCAGACAGGAACAAAGCCAATAAGGAATCTTTCTGGGCCTCATACCATCTTGGACTCTTAAAAAAATCATGTCATTCCCATAAAAAGCTCCATTCCATCTCTGTCTATGTGTCTGCCAAAAAAAAGTGACTTTGAACAGAAAACCCTGTGTTTTAAAGCTATATTGGCTTCACAAGTGCTGATGTTGCTCTTGCAGCAGATGGCACAAGCCTGGAGCTAAGGGTGCTGTGGGGTTTCAACTGAATCCACAAAGGGCCTGAGTATCAGCTGGGAGGCTTGATGAGGGCAGGTATCAGTGGTGCCAAAAGCACACCATGAGCATTTCCTCCATCCTCTAGGGGAAAGTGCTCTGCAACTGAAGGCACTGTACTCAAGCTACTAATCCAGGCTTAATAATTTTGCTTTATTGAAGCCATGGTACTACATGGAGCAGGGCAGTATTTCTAAATGGAACCAAAACATGCTTATGAAGACTGGTGATGACTGAAAAGGTTTGCGTGTTGTTCAAGTCCTGGCTCCCATATGAGTTTGGGGGTACTGACCTGGGTACTGCTTGCCTTTGCAGAAAACACGAAAGATCAGTCTGGTGAAATGCACCCTTAAGTGGACAGATTCCAGCAATGGACTTGGATCCTCCTTCAAGGGGAAGGAACTCATATAAACTCTAAATGATATCTATAAAATTAAACACTCTCTCGAATTTGCCATAGATGTAACATAATCAAAGACAGTTACTTGTTTTGGACTGTTTACAGAGATTTCTTAGGGGTTATTTTTAATATATAATCAGTAGTATAAAGAAAAACTGTGTAAAAATGCCATTATGTGTGTTCACATAGACATGAGTCAACAATCACTTGAACATAACTCCAGTCCTAGAGAAGCTGCAGATGTTTGAACTACTATTCTCAGCCAAAAAGTGCTTTGTTTCCTTAGTTACTGGGAAATACTACTGTGTGTCTTCATCTTATTTAGCTTATTTTCAAGTCTAGCAGGGTCAGTTCTAGGTCAGTAAATAATGAGCTATAATGAAGTAGTATCTGCAGCTGTTGAGCCCAGCCATAATTACAGGTGAGCTTGCCACTTCCTGCATGTTTTATTGTCAGTTGTCACAATGCCTGATGGTGAGCAAGATACATAATTTGTGCAGCATTTCAGTAAAATGCTGAAGTAGGTAGGTAAAAAAAGGTGAAGGAATACTTATTCAATAACACCTTTTATTGTAAAAAACTAAAAAGCAAAATTAAAAATGTCCAAATCCTTATGCATATAAAATTACATAATGTTCAGTCGGAGATTAAATATCACAAAAATTCATTACTGTCTGGAACAGGCAGCATTTATCAGTAAGCAGGTGTGTGGCCCTAAGACAAAGGATAAAATTGGACCATTCATTTAGCCACCAGCTAGAGCAAACTCCTCTTCTAAAAAGCAATGTGCTATGTTACACTTACTACCAAAAGGATTAGCCAGCACATAACAGTGACTATCAGAAAAGCAAGCTAGAGAAATAAAGTAAGAGAAAATCTAATTACTGTCTCCAAAATGACACACCAAATTTTATCAATGTGCTGACCTAAAGGCATCTTGTCTGGCAAAACAAATACAGGTGATTTAGCCTTTCCACACAGAACCATTTTCTCTCTTCACTGTCCTCTTTTACACCAGCTTGTACCACACTGTGCATGGTTCTGTATTCCTCCTGAGTATGAGTCTCAATTCTCAGGCACTACTAATGAGAAAAATCTGTATGTTAAGCTACAGAGCTACTGTATAGCCAGAATAATCATGTAGTCTCCTTTATCTGCCTCCAGCCCTGGCGAACACCATATCACTCTGGCACAATATAAACATGGAGCAATCAAGAGATAATTCCTGTGAATGTAAATTTAAGTTTTTCAGGTCTTGTAGCAAAACATTCTTCAGAGTAATACATTTTTGTTGTTTGAACCTACCATCCAGTACCATCAGTACTCTAGATTAATATATTCTACACTATCTGTAATCTGTATTATTAACAGCTATCCGCTGTAATCCTTAGGGGAACCTGACTCGGTCAAAATGTTAAGGCTGAAATATTGCACATTCTTTTTTATCCCAGCAGTCAGAGGAAGGTGTCAAGAGTCTTGGTGTGGGTCAACATTCTTCTGTTGATACTCTTCATATGTGAGTGACTTCTCTGCTGAGGTTGCACTCTAAGTACATACATAAAGTTCCCCCTGCTTTATCCTGTGTTTTTGAATCATCTCTATTTCCTTCCTTAGAGTAAGAAGGATTCCTTTTACCATGCATGCACATTCTGTTTCCAAACTCAGTACTTCCAGACCCAGCAGTACAGGTGCTAGTTAACACTTTCACTGAAGGGTTTCACCCTTATTTCACTTGATGGTTTCCACCAGGCCTGTTCTATCACCACATAGGAGAGAAAGAGAAGCCAACGTGTATAATAAAAACAAGGGGATTTGCCCACTTACCAAGTGAAGATGAGACATAATAAGGTAGATATTAAAATGAGAACTTGGTTAAACATTGCGGACTGTGTGCGTTGGATGGCCCGGTGAAGATCATTCTGTATTAATGGAAAATAGGTGTTATATTTGGATTTGGTTCGGTAAGTCAGGATCTGATTCTGTAGAGGAATTATGCAATATCCTGATAGCAATGCAGTCACTCAAATGCACTTACAAGTTTGCTGATAATATAGGAGGTGCAGAAGCACCAGCTGTGATTCTGTGATTATTTAAGTAGTTCTTTGTTCATCCCAGCACAATTCTGATCCTATTGCAAGCTGCCTTGAGGTCTGCTCATGTCTAGCTTACAAATTACAGGCTGCAATGCCCAAATATGGCCTTGCAGTTGAGCTCTCTGCAATTGTGTATGAATGGCAGAGTAGAAAAAGAACCATCCACTGCCATTTCCTTTATTGGCACAGTAACAATTTATACTAATTGAGATTTCATTTCATGTCTTTTTTCTAATTGTGATGCAGAAAGCAGTTTAGTAATGCTTGACCATTTGTATAACCTAAATACACATCTGGTTAGCTCCCTATTAGGGTTGGACTGTACTGCCAAAATCCCACTAAAGACAATTTACTAAAAAAATACAACTCTAGAATATTTATTTCCTTTGCATACTTACAATCATATTTTCTAAAGCATGCTTTGCCAGCCAGCAATTTAAAAATACAGGAATAAACAGGTTTCTTAGGACTGGCCAGAAAATCTGAAAGAAAAATTAACAAATTCATTAGCAGCTTTTCTAAAGAGGAATAGAGCTTCACTATTCAAGCAGCAATGAAACACATGGGAAAAATACTTACTATTAATGTGTTTCTAGCATGAGGTTTGGCTTTAAATAACATTTTGTCTTCCTTAGTGATTAACCACATGCAAGATAATTAGATAAAATAGGAACACAGTCAATTTTCACTGAAAACATGAGTGATTCTTACATTTTTATAACCAGCTTGTTTGTTTTATTGATTGTGCTGTAGTTGGAGTTAGAGGGTTTTGGTTTTGTTTGTGCCCATATAAGAGGAAGTGGAAAGTTACCTGTATGGCTTCACTCCAGTAGCAAACTATCCTCTTATTGTTGGCAAATTTCTGTTCCAATAGGCACAAACTCATCATCCACATAAGAATAAAATTTACTTTAAAAAAGTAAGAGTATTTGTGCAGCTATAAAACTGCAATGTGCAAATGTATTAAGTCAAATACATTTACCGTGATGATGAAAGGGACAGCATTAATTATTTCCAGAAGAAAGGGTATTCTCAGAATTTGCTCCCAGATATTTCCCTTCAAAGAAAAGGAAAAAAAACCCCACAATGTCACAGTCAGCTTACAGACAGTTCTGATGAGGAATACATGTGATATCCCAATGTAACACAGGGAGTCTATTCCTTACCTGAAATACAGGAACACCATTCATCTCAGATTTAAACACGTGACAAATGTGAATATAGAATATAGATCACTCTGGATCCTTTTTCCTACAGTTTTTCACAATGTACTTCCCAAGTAAAAGATATATACTTTTTAATCTCCTTCCTTCCATCCTTTGCCTTTTATCATTAGTTTGTATTTTTTCTTTCCCAACTATTTTGGAGAGGGAAGTAAGGAAGAAATTGAGTGTTTAATATTTGAATTAGAACTACAATATCAAGTTCTCTATTTCTGCCACCAACACTTCAGATCACTTCAAGGCTTTTTGGAACTTGATCTTGCTTCCATGAAATGAGAGGTCTTCCCACATATTTCAGTGAAGTGGTATTGATCTTTTAATTTGCTTACTAATAGCAACAGGATGGGGATAATTCTACTTTTTTTTTCCAAATCTGTGCAGTAACTGTGAACGATTAAATGTTGAGATGAAAATCCACATATTAAAAAAGGATTTTTGAATAGTTTTTGAATAGGATTTTTGATAGTTGAACTGCAGTGACTTACAGCTTTACTAATGTTGTGTATCAGGACTCCATCACAGGTAATGCAATAATAGTGCAGCACATAGCATGGCTGTATAACAAGAATTTGCAGTAGAGTATTTTCAGCTGCAATTACATGTTCACCCTCCATGAAAAATAACCACCTGATACAGCCACTGAAAATTAAACACAAATTCTTTCTCCATTTTTAACTCTTCACATCTGGAAGCCACTATACCTCAGGGACAAGGATTATTATCTTCCATGTAATTGCAATTGGTGGGAGTCAGACATAAAGTGAAATTACAAGGCTGTAAACTGAGGGGGGTTTGTATGAAGAGTAAAATCAAAATCAAATCTGATTTTTCAAACTTAACCATTTTGTGATTTCACAATTTCCTCACTTTTAACGACAGGAGTTTGCTCCTCTGCATTATATAAAAGGAATGTGCAGGCAAAATGCACAAGGTATGGATGGGCTCCAAGTAATTAGGGATGTATGCAGCTGTAGGATTCTGGCTTCCACATGGAAATTCATCATGAGTTCTGTAAAACTGCCTTTTGCAGTAAGAATGTATGGTGCTGCTCAAAGCCCTGAGAGTGTCTGAGCACGAGGCATATGCAAGATTGCCAGATGTCTGTGGCAAGTTTTGACAATGGAGATTTTTGATGTAGACATCTTTCAGAATTCTGGGCAAGGACAAACCCTCATGTAATACTTCAGGTTGTGACAATGCAGATTGTAAACCTTCCACTCCTGGATCCAAGTGATCAGCATCACAACACAATGCTACCTACATCCACTGCTTTCCTCTCCATTTAAAAGCTATAAAAATTTCAAATTCACTGCAATAGTAGCATGATATGCTACTCTGACCTCATTATTCTGCATGTTGAATCATTTCTCATATGTCATATACCAGGTATCAGAAAGGTCAATCTCTTGGAGTATTCTCTCAAATGACTGCTTTATTCATTTTACAGGTTATTTGTGAAATCTTAGCAATGTGTACTCCAATGCAAACACAATCATCTTTTCATTGTTTTCTTGCTTGCTAATTCTCTGACTTGTAAAGGTCAGTTCCCTAAATTGTGAAAGTTTTGAAAATGTTTCCATAAAATAAGTAATCTGACACAGACTTACATGAACCAAGGCACCTTTGTTCACCTTGGTTGTGCAGAAAAGCCTTACAGTGGGTGAAATAACACCACTCTTGGCTTCAAGAGAATGGTGTAAAACTAGGAAAACAGGACCAGAGGGGAGGACGTGCTTCCATCAAGTGGATTGATGTGATTGACAAATTTTGTTGTTCCTTAGATTAGTCTTTTAATTCTTTCTTTTATGGGGAGTGGAATCACAAAATTGCCTAAAGTTCTCTGACAGGTATATGCAGCAAATCAGGGAAGAGCTCTCCATCCATCACACACTAATGAGTAACTTCTCATGGAAGCTGATTTGCCAAGAATTCATCTTCTGTACCCACTGAAACTGATCCAAATCACAAGCAGAATGGATGAAGTTAAAATGCTGCCCAGTAAACACATGAACTGTGATTGCCCTTTGCTGTTTTGCCACCAGTATATAAATTTTGGACTATTTTGGCCAATTATTGATTTGCACTTCTAACCTCTGACCCTTAAATAATATATGCTCCAAGGATTAAGATTAATTTTTAGACAGCAGACAACTGCAAGCCTCTTAGCATTATTAGGCACTAAGGAAAATATATATGCCATAATCACTCAATATGCACATTGAAATACAAGTCTCTAAATTCAGCACTGGCTCTGATAACTACAGAATGTCAGTAATACAAAATATAATAAAACAACAACTAAAAAATTATCCCCCAAGATATTTTCAGCTTTAGAAACCAAATATTTTCATATTTTCTTCAGTAAATTATTTCAAACGCTTTTGTTATTTTTCTGCTAAAGACACTAAAAATGCAGAGATAGAGCAGAACAAAATGGAATGAAGAAAACTGAATAAATATATTAGAAAAAAATAGCTCTTAAAGGAGAATGCAAATACAAAAATACATTGTACTCACATCAAATTATTGCATAACATTTTGAAAAGACATTCCAACAGTATCACACAGATGGATAAAACAAGTATGTAGCTATCCTATTTTTTTTCTAATTTTTTTTAAAGTACTATCTTGGCCTAGTTTTTCTGTGCACAGTTTTAGAGGGCTAAATTTGAATTATATGTATTGAGTAGCTACAGTTTTGACATCAATGACAATTGTGTCCAATATGTTATGGACAGACAAATAAAACTGCACACTTGAAAAATCAGTGTCAAAAAATCAAGGTCATTTTTGAGAATGTGTTTTCAAATTACCATGTGCCAATGGACAGTGGAAAATAATGTGCATTTAATTGCCAACTTCCACATTTTAGATATTAGTTTGCTCATAAATTTGGGAAACAGGGCTGCCTGTGTGACAATATACCACCCTCAAAAAATGTGTTTTTCTAAACTCCCTGCTTGTATGCCAGCATGGGCACAGGTACATAAACTTTATATTGAAACATTATTCTCATTAATTTTTAATTACTGCTGCATAAAAGTAACAAATAATACTTACCTTGTAGCTTAGATAACTTAGCAACAGAGTTTCAAAGAGACTTATTACTGCCACAGACACCTTAAGTGAAGTGAAAAAAAAGTGTATTAACACCAGCTTCCAGAGAATAGATATTAACATTACAATGAAAATAAAAGATTATATAAAACAGCTTTTTCTCAGCTACAAGCATTTTGTTTGAAGCTTAGATATTGTTATTTTTCTGAGTTTCATTTATTCCTAAACAGTACCAAAATCTTCCCACATGACTGAGAGAGAAGGAAGCTGTAAATAAGGAAAGTCAGTCAGCTCTTAACTTTTTTGTAAAGATGCTATGAATGTGTGGAAAAGCAAATGTTTTTCTTATTGTGCATAATGCAGGAAGTTGAAAGCAGCAGAAATAATACAGAATAATAATTATTGGTTTTAAGTTTTAAATGCAGCTGAGTTCAATTTCCCAGCCTCCAATTAGATTATATGTATTAAATAGTTTAAAATATTTAAATAGTCAAATACCAAAATTGTAAAAAAATACTTAAATCTTTATAGATATTAAGAATTTACTTAAGTTCTTCGCATAGAAAGTATTTGTATTTTAATGTGTATCATGGGAATATTCCATCAAGATGGACTCTATCAGGCTAGAGCCTGAAGTCAAGCCTCAGGATTTTAAATTTTAAATTAATGCTCCCTACAGCTGAAAACTCTGGAGGGAGCACAGTGTCTTTATTTAGAAGTAAAAAAGATGCTATGACTTGGGAAGTTATTAAAATATACAAAATTATTAAAATAGGAAATCAAAATATATCAGCTTTTCTACATAATAATTAGTTTTAGATAAACTCAGGCTTTATTTTCAAATAAATTCCTACACTTACAAAATAGACATATCAGAAAAGGTCTGTATCCATAGGCAAATAAATATCTCAGTATTTTTAAATTAAATTTAATAAAGTAATCTGGATGCTAGATCAAAAATTACTCAAACTGTGCATATTCTAAAGGTATTTTCAAGGGCTTCTTAGAAAATTGTGTATTATGTAGAGGTACAATCATTGTATTGGCATTGCAACAATCACGGTGAGAGAATATAATGGTATAACCCATCTGTAAGCTTAAATAGTAAGTTTTTTCTAGTAAAAAACTACATTTCACAGAGAGAATCAGTACAGATCAGCTGATCTTTATGCTTTTGCTGTACTTGATGTTCAAAATTTCCTTGCTGACATCAACATTTCCAAGTATCCTTTAACACCGCTACAATTCTGTAAATCACTATCATCTCCAGTTGTTACATGGAAATAATTGAACTGGTCATTTACTTATTACCTGTAATCCCCATAATGGTAAGCTTCGATTCACCCAAATGATGGGAGACCTGTTCATTACAGTAAGGAAATAAATATCAAATTAATCATAATCTGGTGTTTTAAACAAAAAAAAAAAAATAGTTGTACATGTGTATGGAAATTAGACTTACTGAAAAAAAAAATCTCAGTAATGAAAACTTAAAATTACTAGTTATCTACTGAATATTGACACGTCTTATATTTCAGCAAATCATTAGGTTCCTGTGGGAAACTGGCAACCCTTTTTTGTGAATATTTTGCTATCTGTATAATGATATAAATGGTATCTAAGCCTTAGGGGCTGCCATAGCTTGGAAGAATCCTATCAATGCTAACAGACACTTGATACAGCACCACTAGAATGTATGCTCTCAATGGCACAATAATTTCCTCTTAATCATTTACTGCTACTCAGAATTGGTTTTCTTAATTAAGGGCATCCATTTTTTTTTCTACAAGGTATCAGCATTGTTGGAACTGAGATCCCACACCAGCATCCAGTCCAGCAGTTCACTTTGCAATCAAGAGAAAGAATTAAAATATTAAATGCAGTTTTAACATTCAGAAATGTAAGTAATGGCTAGAGATTTATAGAAACATCCCTACTACATGTTAAAATGCCACAATTCCAGATGGAAATGGATTTGTCTTCCTGTGTTCCCTTCCCACCACTCTGTGGACTTTCGGTTTGCTGTTTTAACTTAGGAACTCACCAATCAATTGTTCCAGGTGTGTAGTTTTGGTTGGAACAACTCCGATTTAATTCTTTACTGATAGTTGCCATACCATCCATGAAAAGTCCATTTTCATTAGCAAATGTGTATGGGAACACAGTCATAAAAACATATGGGAGGAAAGGGATATTAATTACATCATTAAGTGTTCTATGAAATGCATGCAATATTTGAAACCAAAGACAATCAATAGAGACATTTTTTAAAGTAAAGTTATTTTTAGAAAGTACTGCTGTATGTGTTCCATATTTGTAGATAATGGCCTATGAACCATTCCAGGTTGCATTTTTTTAAAGATTTCTTTTCAAATTTAAAAACAAGACAACTGAAACGACTTTGTAAAGCTGAACTAAGTACACAATATATACTGAAGATCAAGAGACCCTAGAAATCCTATACCATGGGTAGGCTGTGATACAAAGAGCACATTTTCAACAGAAAAGACTGCAGCAAACTACACTTGATAACCTCTTTCGAGGATGTGAGGAGGGCTGGAGATGCATGCAGCAGTATTTCAAGTACAAAATTGATGATACCCAAGTGAAAATACTGGCCATTATACACATGATGTTATCTTGCCTTTAATTGCTGGCACAAATCTTCCTTTTAAATGGTCATATAAGGATGTGGGAATATATAATCTGTAAATGATGACAAATATCCTTGCTCACCCTTGGCAAGCATGGTCAGCAGAAAATAAAGGGATCTGCAGCCCACAAATTAGCAACAACTGTATTTGTACCAACTATGAGGGGGACAATGCTAAATTGTACCCATTAATAGGGATGCTTTATGTCTTAAGCTCTTTCCTGTACACCTGCTGTGCTTGAAGGAGTAAATGAAAGACACCAACTTGTGCAGGCATTTCTGAAAAACAGGAAATAAATCTGATTAAAAGACCTCCTCACAGATTTTTCACTTTAAAACCAACCAGGTGAAAACATTTTCTATGGCCACGCTCTCAGCATGCCAAGTAGTTTCTTTCATTGGGCTGTGACACAGTACCTAGAATTTATTTTTTCTTTCATACCACCACATCTTTAAGAATGTATTCAAGCATGCATTTTGGTATCAAGCCCTTAGGATATCTAGGGCATTAATGGGGTGCCATTTGTTTGTCTGGAACAGCTTATAAGATGCCTTAGTGAGCCAGCAGAAGGACTTACCTGAATCTTCTGAGGCAGACAAATGTTGTTCAGAGATAGAAAACACCAACTACTCTCTTAGATGTATCACAACACCATGTAAGGGAATAGCATGTATAGAAAACATAAATACACTCTCTGGTGAATTGTACAACACTTTGATTGACGAACATGGCAGGAAAGGTGTGAAGCATTCGGCAGTCTGCAGATGTATATGAATATGCATCTTTGCATATAAATACAAAAGTATATTTGGCACAAGGTCTGATATTCAAACCTGTCCTGCACACCCAGACAGAACCATGCAGCACAATATAGTCATCTGGGCTAAACAGAGGTCTCATAAAGAAAGAAATGCAGCATACCAGAAACCATGATTAAATGGAAAATGTTAAGTCCCTGAGTTGCTAATACACCTAAATTTCTAAGGATGTGTGAGATGTTACATAGTGATCCGTGTCATTATGGAAACACACCGTGGGATCAATATAATCAAGAATACTAATCTTAAAGCATGGACATGAGACAAAATATAATGATTTCATTATTTTTGTTTAAATCCCTTTGCTGTGAATTGGTAGCTTTTGCTGTTATGTATTTTTGCCATGTATGTAATTGCTTTAATTATGAATTGTACCCACTCTTCATGTATAAAGAGACAGCGGGCTTGTGTGAACATGTAAAAACTTGTTACTGCTGTTACCTGCTTGCTAAGAGTGCAAGCTGGCCACATGTTGGAGCTTTGTCCAGACCTGGTGGGGGGCTTCCAGCCACTGCTGCTTGGGAGATAGCCAACATGTTCGGGCTTGCCCGGACTTCTACCCCAGCATAGAAGGCATGACACAGCCCAACAAGAAACTGCCTATAAAAGAGCCAGTGACCAGGTGTAAAGTCAGTGTGTTGGTGGAGCAGAGACTTCCTCTGTCCCCAGAACTACTTGCTCGTCCCTTATTAACAAATTAATAAATTGCCTTATTGATTGACCAACCAGATTGTGGTAGGCAATTTATAACAGATGGATTTCCTCATCTCCAAAACTTTATTGCTTGTCGCCTCTTACTGAAGAGACATTCTAAGGCATATGTAGAGTCAAAAGTAGTTTTTCATGGGTCTTGTTTTTCAGGGAAATTTCTCTACAGCCCTTTTTCAGATCTTATAATTTCTCATGATAAATTTTGACCAAAAAAAATCTCAAATCCATCTTCTGTACTTCCTATTCACATATCCTCTCATGCACTGCTGAATAAAGCAAATACTCTTTACCTCTCTTTGCTTTGGATTTCATTCTTGTAAAGTACAGTATTTCTCCTATTCACTATCTTTTTTTTGGTGTTACCTTTACTAGATTTAACTGATATCCAAATATTAAAATTAGATATCAAAGTCTGTCCCTTGCCTAATGTTGCATGAAGACTGCTGGTTCTATCATCCTAAGCTTAGTATTTTCTTATGTGCTTTGTTTCTTTCAGCACTTAAGGACAAAAGAATCAAATCAAGTTAAAAGGAAGTACATTAATAAAATGTGATGCTTATTAGCATTAAAAATTGAGGAGATTTAATATTCTCAGGATACAAATACAACGGAAGTGCAGGATTAAATAAATTATCATTTTTTGCTACATTTGGTGATTAATTGTGTAACACATTTTAAAAAAAGCGGTCACATAGAATACCATATTGGCAATTCAGGGTGTGCTAAATCATGCATTATATCCATAAATCATTGTAAGTATAGAATGTACTTTTGGTATTACTCTTCTGAAGTGTTTAGAAAAAGAAGAAGGCTAGAAAATTATTATCAATATCGTCTCCATGAAAGCTCAGTTGCATGTGTTTGTCTGTCCATTTCTGGGATCTGGGGTTTTAAGTAATATTATTTAAGCAAAATCTGAAAATAAGTGTTGCATAAACTGGGAATCAGATATTTGCAATTTTACATAGAAATGTTATCTAATAATACATCTAAAATATATGTTTGCATAATAACATGATGCGAAGTATCTAAAGAGAGAGACAGGATTATTTTAGTGGGAAAGGAAATAAATAATATTGTTATTTTAGTTCTTATTTCCATTCACAATGCAAGACCAGCTTTGTAATTCTTTCAAAATATCTGGAAGACATAAAACAAATCCTTCATGTGTTCATTATTTATTTCTTTAATATAATTTAAATAATGCTTTGAGAGCAGTAATGAGAAAAAAAAGCCCCAAACATTACCATCCAAGTCCTTGTGTAGGATCATCCAGGAGCACACGAACTATGTATAGGAAACAGCTTAGTAGCTTGAGGGAGAAATTGAATAACCGTATTCTCAGACCTAGATTGAAAAGAAAAGAAAATACTGAAATAAGTTCAGAGGTTTTAAAGTTTCACCAACCTTCAAGGTAAAACTAAAAGGAACTAAAACAGTCCTGCAGTAAAAAGCAAATGTCTATATAAACAGTCTGTGTTAAGACTCAGCCTGTTTTAATTTAAAGACCTATGCAGTCACTTGTTCAAAAGCTATTCTATGCTGTTAATCCTTACTGCTGCCATTCTTTGAGTCTTTGATAGTTTGAAAAGTTCACTTTCTTGGGAGGGGAACCAGAACTACGCAATGCTTTTTGAGATACAGGATACAGCAATGTGAAAAGATGAATTTTCAACCATAGGCAGGGGATATGCAGTAGCAAGCATTTAAATATTATATATTAAATATTATGTTATTAAATTATATTATTTATTTATTGTATATAATATAAATAATATCATATTATATTATATTAAATATTAAAGATTTAAATCTAAAGAAGTCTTCATACAGTAACTTTGCATACAGAATAAATTAACTCTATCCCAACTTATAAAATATTAAACTGGAGTTACTTAATGCTGAAGTTGAATAACTATGCATTCAGGACATCTAAAAGTCTGATGTTCAGTCTAAAATGCACAATTGAACTGAATCAACAACTTGTTCTACAGACCATGTAAATAGTGAGATATTCTAACTCAATAGATATGCCACAAATACTATTTCAAAATATTACACTATTTTCCACAAACATAGGTTTAATGCACAAAGACAGGATTCCTTGAAAGGGATCCACATGGACACTTACTTCTATCATATGGGCAATTTATTTCACTGCCAACTGGAGCCATTATCTACTGAAGTGGAACTTTTTTTGTATTTCTATGTGATTTTGCAGTCATTAGAGGATTAAGGTTTAAATTTTCAGTACTGCTATTGAATTCAGCAGACTTTTTTTTTGCTAGTGTGAATATTTGCATCTGACTCTTAGATGTAAGCATTCATTTACAAATTAAGTTAAAACTGTTAGCTGACTAATGTTAAGTGACTGGAGGTCACTTTAGCAATAATTTTTTTCAGTCATTCAAACTGAAAGTCCAGTTTTGCATGGCTGAGCCCTTCTATCCAAAGCAGAATACTCTGAGTCTTACCCAGGTGTGACTTCCCTTGCCCCAGTCACTGCAAGGACACTGAGATTACTGTTGTGTTGCAAATACTTCAGCAGGTCTGCTGAAATCATTGTAATTACTTCTGTGGTTTAAGAACTACCCAAATGCATACCCAAAGCTGTGTGCATACATTCCCTTCCAAGGAGAGAATCACAATCATTTTATGGTAACACTGTTTTTTTTAACTTTATTCGCTCCTAAGTTCAAAATCAGCACCTTACAGATAAAACTGATAAACCAGTTTTTATGTCTACTAGTTCCTTTCCCATTAAAACTCCATCTACTAAAAACACAGAAAAATATAAAATGAATTCTTAAATATTTTACCAAGCAATTTTTGAGCAAAATCTTTGGGTTTATTACATAAAACTGCTTAATTATTTTAACTGTGACGTTGCAGTTATCAAAAAAGAATTGGATGGACTTTAACAGCACCTTGTTTCTGTGAATTAAGGGTTAAAATCCTGTGGTCCATGGGAAGTCCCACAGCTGTTACTGGCAACTGGGTTTGATTATATTAACCTAAGGATTCCTGCTCCCCTATCAGGAAGGAAGGAAGTATTATCCTATTATTTGACTTGGTAAGTGATATGATCCTCATTTGCAGCTTTTTTAAACTGTTGCTGAAGAAAACATTAATTATTTATTTGTCCTAAGCCTTTTGTAGAAGTCTGCTGGAATATGAATGGTTGCCCTAACAACCAAGCTATTACAACTAGAAAAGCAGATAATGTTTAAAAAGAACCCTAATCCTAAACAAACAAAAAAAAGCCTACCAATTTTGTATTGCCTAACTTTCTTCGGCGAGTACAGAATTCTGTTGTTTTTCTCCTGTTTTTTAGCTTTGTAAATGTTACTTTTGGTGTGAAACACTTGTTTTCTGCACTGATAATGGACTGGTTTCTAATCATCCTTTGAAATTATATGTTGGTTTAAATGCCAAAAGAAAATGGTTCTTTTCTGATTAAAAGCTACATCAATACAGTGGACTGATGCTCCAGCCTGCTGCCCTAAATCCTGAATTCTCAAATCTTAGTTCTGATAGATCTGGAACTCAGGCTCTGGATATCTCCATAGGAATGGCTATTTCCCACAGAATGGGAGGCAGGGTTTTCAAACCAGCCATGCTTTCATCTAAGGGTTCCAGTCAGCATCTCTAGAGAGTGCATTTTGTGGCTGGGGTTGTTTATAAAGCAAGGCAAAGTACAGGTTCTGTAGCGTGATTGGGTCAGTTATTAAAATACAAAAGAAAAGGCTTCCTGACCCAGTCTATCCTGGGTCACCTCTCCTTACTCTGCGTGCGTCAACACTAGTAACATATGCAGCCACCTTTGTTTGGATAATCAATGCAGGCCTAACAGATGCATTTTTTTCTCATGGAAAGATTCTTCAGCCTCCTATCTGGGGATTCACATGTGAGTTGGAAGCAATGCATGTCTTCCACTATCATGGAGATGTAGGATTTCAGATGTGGGAAGGAGAGGCACAAACACTACAGAAGGCATTTAAAACAGGTTTTCACTTGTTATTCTGGTACAAAGGAAGCATTTCATATTTGTTTGCTTCCTGTCTATTTTTGTTCTGTATTTCACATGCTGTCAATGGATCGACATGGTCTGCTTGACTTAATTACTTTTTCTCCATTCAGAGACAGATTGCTTAAGTAGCAGGGTCATTGGCACAGAATATCTCTATGTTTTGAATATGAGTGGTGCCTGAAACTTGTATCCAGCTCTACTCATCATGCACTGTTATGCAGTTATGTATTGCTTAATGGAAATGCAATTTCATTGTGTCTATGTAACGAAGTTGTTACATACTCTTGTCTTACTCAAAAGAATTAATAACATTTCAACATCTATTTGTTTTGTGGACCAAATATAATTGTCAAATCTTAACATTTCCTTCTCAGTTTAAACAAGTATTTGCTATTCTTACAGGCACCTTTAAGTATAGCATGATATATTATATTTTTTTTCACTTCTGACTGTGACTATTTTATTATAAATTCTTAATGCTCTCCTTGCAAGCATTTTTGTAGATTAAATGTCAGATTTAGAGAGTTGGTCTAATCAGAGTGACAGATACCAGGTGAGGATTTTAGAATCACCTCCCATTATTCCCTTCCTATAGGTCACTAATATACCGTTGATTTTCACCAAAATCATTTTGATGGCAGCTGGCTTTAGGAGCTGGATCAAAATATCCTCTTAATAATTCACATCCCTGTGATGCTTATCCTTTATTCCCTCATTACTGACTTGAGACTTCACTTATTTTTTCCCTTTAAGACTTACGATTGGCTGTGATAATGCAGTGTGATCCTGGCAAGTACAAGCAAGTCATGCTTGTATGACTATTTCATTTTCTCTTTCTCTTCTTTTTTTCTTTTTTTGGGGGGAGAGTGCTGTGTGACACCTTTGAAAGATGTTTTTTATACATTGTTTGAATTTGATTAGACATTTGCTTGAAGAAGATGGAGTGGAAACTAGATTGACATGAGACATAGATGAAGGCTTGTTATATCAGTTTATCAGTTTAAACAAAGATAATAATTAATAAAGTAGTTGATATTTCAAGTTGCTGTCAAAGATGTGATTTAGATCAGGATAGTATTCTGTAGAAAGTTCTTATAAATTCTAGACCTGACTTCTCTGGTTGGCAAACCCATGTGATATTATAAAAAACTCTTTGTTGAACAGGTTTGATTTAGTTACACTATCAAAAAAATTTGCTGATCCTACTGACAATTTTTTTATCAATGACAGGAAGTCCATCCTTAATATGTGAAGGAAGGTTTTTAGTGCTCTCACTGAATACTGACTAAAATCCATTATCTTTGTTTATCAGCTCCCTGGTACTTCTGGGCAAAAGATTCCTCCTGTTTCAATGGAGGGACTGAATGAGTACATGTGACTGAGTGGCAGGTTACTGTTTCAGCAGCAGCTTCTTGGAGACTCTCTTTGGGAAGATTCTGGTTCTGAGTATTTGGACAAGAATCAAGGTCTGCATAAGCAGAAGGACTGTTTGAACTTACTGACTACTTTGGCTTTGAGATTTTTCTTTTATCAGTGCTCTGATGGCTATCCACATCATTCCTGTGCTATTTAGGCACCTGAATTAAGATGAATTTCCCATGTGTGTCTAGGTAAGTCTAACAAGTAATGCATTCCCCATGGATGAACCTCCAGATTTGTTACACCTGATTCTCTAGCTTAAAACCAGCAATTAATTCCAAAGCCTCTACTGAAAATGTCAATTATTGACAGCTCAGTGCCTTTTTTCTTTCCTTTTAGAGAAATATTTTTCTTCCTACACTTGGAAAGTAAAAGAAGTTTTGCCAATAAAAATATCAAGTTCTGTGATATAAAGCTAGTATTTATTTATTGCTAGCTCTTAAAGACAGATTTTTTGGTATGACTTATTTTTATAAAAGCTTGATCTAGTGTCCCCAGTTTTGTTTGTCTGGGTATTTTCAGACTGGGACATCAAAAAATTTCTTTCATTTCTTTTTTCTGTCTTTTTCCCGACACAAAACCATGAACCAATTTCAACTGTACAAAGGACAAAATGTATTTTTTGTACTTCATGTATACAGCTATTGTAATTTTAGTTCCTTACATATGAAAGGCAAAGAGAGGTAACTTCAGTCCTGCTACACAGAAGAAAATAGAGGTCAGTTACTGCTCTTCTGACCTATGAACTCTACTATTCTAACCAAGATTGGATAATATTCCATGTTTCACCCCCCTGGACCAGCTGCATGGATGTATTTAAAAAGATTAATATCTTAGTTCCTCCACATTATTCTCTTCCATGATGGTCAATGACTTTAAGCACAAGTATCAATGAAGTTATATTTAGATTAGACTATATTGCTAAGACTGTAAGTTAAGTTTGATTATAGGTTAATGACAAGGGCTACATTTCTGAAGGACCACATCCCCAGTAGTCTCCTTTCCAATTTTTTTTTTTCAGTGCAGATGAAATTTAAAATTTTAGGAATACTTAATAAAATAGAAGCCTTCAAAAAGCTGGGTACTTCTGCAGCTTTTCTCCTCTACCATCTTAAGTGTCCTTGCTTTACTAGTCACAATGTCACAATTTGTCAATGAGCATTGCTGCCAGATCAATGTAATTTAGTCAAGTTGATCATGACACAGAAATAAAATAATGGTTTTATTTAACAATTTGTGATGTCACTGATCCTGCATGAGCACATTATTTTCAAGTTTAAATATTTTAACTCAGAAGAAAATTAATAATAACTTCACTGTTGTCTTCAACTGATTTTGATCTTACTCAAGCATCACAAATATGCTTAACAGAAATTAATCCAACTGCTTACTTGATCTTTGGTTTTTGATGAAGAAGAGCTTTAGTCTCTCTTTAAATGTATTTTCATTCATATAGAATTCAACTTGCACCCTGAAACAATAAAAAAGAAAGTATTAGGACTGGCTATGAAAGATAATAAACCAGTATTTCAAAAGAATTTGTTTCTCTTATTTCAAAATAATTTGTTTCTCTAATCACCTATTCTTGATATAAAACTGGAAGGACTTATAGTGAGTGTTCAGCCAAAAGCTCACTATTTGAATGACTAATGTTGAAAGTTTTAAAAAAACCCAAACCAAATAAACAAAAAACTTCATCACCAACAAGCAGAAGACCTTTAATTTATCCCCTTTACATGCAGAATCGTTTTCATATTACTTGGACAGTCTACTCTGCAAAATAAGAATTGGGATTTTCATTGGATGACCATTCTCCTATTTGCATGTTAGAAGGGAAGATTTCCTTGATCTCCAGGTTAAGCCTCCCATCTCAGTTTAACTCCCTTCCTGTAAAAGTGCCATTTTAATGATCCTTCTTTTTTCTATCTTGTTCACATTTCTGTTAAATGTTCATGTCTCAGTGCACTTGTTTGTCTTCACCTATAAGCAAACACTTAGTCACACAATATTGTACAGAAAATAACTCTCCTCATGATTATATTAAAGCAACAGGGGTATCTTTTCTCCATTCCCTCAGATCTGCCTGGCTATATTTCATCTTTCTGTCCCTCAGTTCAGCCTGAGTACCACACATGCAATAGTTATATAGCCTAGAAGAGAGAACTGTTGCAAGGAATTGGCCAGGGAGGAAGGTGTGTATTAGTTATGCAGAAAAACTCAGCCTGTTCAGAGTTGTGGAGATCCAGTGCTTGCTGGAAGATGAGAGCAGCATTAGGCTCGTTCTCACTGAAGTCCCTGCTCTACCCAACTTACTGAATCTCCATCCCCAGCCAGTTCTCCCTCAGCAATGAATCTATGCCAGCACATCTGTGCCTTCCTGAGAAGTCAGAGCTCAGCTGGAGAAGGTCTATTATTGCTAAAGAATAAAGAAACACCACATAAGTGAGTTATTTCCCTACATCTCCCTTTCTCTGTAGATCATCATGTTTTGCACAGCTGCATGTACTTTTTCTGCTCAAGCATGCTTGAACTTTATTTCAGCATTTCTTCTCAGCAGTCTTTCATCAAATAACTGTACTTCAACTACTTGGTTTTATATGTAGTCATAATTTTCTAGCAGAATCCTGACTTTAGTTTTTCCCTTCTTGCATGTGAAGCCTTTTGCTCAAATGATTTTTGTACAATATACTGTTATCTGTAGTGTCTCTCAGGTTGTCTATACAAGATATTTCCGTACACTTAAGGAGTTGGAGGGTTATTTACTTCTGGGCTTAGAATGGGTGGCATCTCAGGCAATGTGACTTTTCATGCCTGCTTATTACCAGAAGTTTAGGCATATCACTTTGTAGGACAGGGTCATAAAAAGAAGGCTCTGTGATTCACTCAGTGAAGTCAGTTAATTTTAACTAGTCATTGCCTTTGTTGTGTTTTATTGTAGTGTTCCTTGTAGGATGGGTAATCACACTACTTCCTATTCAGAGGAAGCACAAACAACAATCTGATTTATTTTCCAAGGTACTTCTTGTCATTAATGCAGTGACAGTTTTAGTGGGAAACATCTCCCATTATTGGCAGTTGCCACATGCTAAGTGTACATAATCTTCAAGGATATATTTCAGGAGGTAAAAAAAGTGGCACAAGCTTTTGAAGTAAGGGATGTAAGGGATGATCTTGAAAAGATGCATGGTGGTTTGGTTTTTTTTAACACATTTTGAATTAATCTACCAGAGTTTTGGTAAGAAAATTTCAGTAATCACTTATGAGGAAAAGCAACACGTTAACAGTGGGCCAATATTTAATGATAATGAGGGAAAAGGATGTGGGAGCTAATCACCCTCCTATCACCAGCACTATGAATTACTCTGATAGCCTTCTAACAGCTGTCTACTTGGCTTTTCTTAGAAACCTGCACTCACAGCAGACTGGGATTCCACAGTACAGCAGTTTCCATGGCAAAATGGATTACGAATGCTGCTAATGCCACTTCTATGGCTCCTTCTCCCACCCCGGACTTTTTTAAACTTTAGTAAAAACTGTAGTGGCCTTCTACATTTGCAGAAATGCATTACCCACATCTATAATCAATGCACTCTCCTGATACTCTGGCTACTAGAGAATATTTCACTTTGTTTCTTAAAAGATGTTGTTTACTAAGTTGACTGGCTGAAGGAGCCCCTGGCAAGGACAGAAATCTCTAGATACTGCTCTTTCCCAAGACTGCTTTTTATTTCTAAGGAGAACACTCATTCTACTTGAATGAGTGAGAACATTAACTTTTAATGGTTAATATTTTACCTTAATTATTTGCTCTTTTCTGCATTTTTCCCACTTTGAAGTGTAGCCTAAAAAAGGAGGTTTTTGGGAACCTACAAAAAATAAATTCTTATCCCTCCATTGAAATATTGAGAACGTTTTGTAGGAGTAGTGGTAAAGGGCTTGAACAAGATTTTTCTGGACTAAATTAGTACAAGTTATTATGGATGTTTCAAGTGAGAATTGAAATTCTTGTGACACACATATAAAACTTGATTACTCTGTTGCAGGATATTTGAAATTTAATTCCAAGTGAATGGTTTTGACAAAATGGCCCACCATGTACATCAGGGTGACAGTACATGTACACGCAGCCTGGCATACAGAATAGATTTGGGTATATTGTGTATTTATAGTGTAACTTGAAAGTGTAGTTTCAACAGTTTGTGCTTCAAGTTTATCTTCCTGTAAAAGACAGTCCACCCTAATCAGAAGGAAGTCAAGCTGAAGGATTAAAATGCTATTCCTTGATGGTGGTTGCAGGGAGAGAAATGGTTGATGAATATAAGGATTTTGTTTGTGCAGTCAGTTAATAGCTTCAGAATTTTACATGTAGTTGGCATTGAATATTCCATGAAAATCTACTTTTGGAAGTTAAAAGAACTGGTCTTATGCTTTACTGACTCTTACTTCAGCTCTGTTGAAAATGCAAAAAAACCTGATGCACCTGTAGAAGAACTATGGAAGTTATATTATTGTCCTGAAAACACAGTGTGGTGCGTTAAAACACAATACCATTGGTACTGGTCTTCACTAGTTTAAACCCGAAACACATTGATATCACTGAAATAACTTGAAATCTTTCAAACTGTAAGAATCATCTTGAAGTACCCCAAGTACACTGCACTGTTATAATTCAGATAAGATGCAGTTTGGGAAGTACATCTTAATGCAATATAAAGTGTAGCAGGAAAATCCTAATTCCTGTCAAGGACACTAATGCAGAGCACTGCTGGTGGCTGTAAAACACTGTGACCAATCTGTCTGCACTCTGGCTATTTAATTCATTTTTCCTGCATTTTTCCATTACTATTTACAAGGTCATTCTAACCCCATAGCCACACTTTACTATAGTAACAGTATTATCTTGTACCCTCAAAGCTACAAATCGTCTTTCTTTCATGTTAAAAACCAGATTGGGCAGAAATAGTCACTTCAGAAATTAAAGTATGAGCTGGATTTCTCACTACATGCATGCCAAGAGCTGTAAGTGTTTATGCTTACTATTTATTGATGTTGGAATCAAGAAAAGGTATTAAGTGTACAAACAGAGCCAATCTGAAGAAAAATATTTACATTTATTTAAATACATTGTTTTAGAAACGGATATCTCACATTTTTCCTACAAAGAAAGCCTAGTAATAGAAAAACAATATTGGGTTTTTTTACTGGGATTTTCCAATTCAATATACGTGAAATCCTGTTAGACTTCAGACCCTAGCTACAGGGCATAGACGGGTGCTTAAAAATGAAGCACCTGAACTGCTAAAGTGAACTGCTATTATCAGATCTTATTTTACTGCAATAAAAAAAGAAATAGGCTTCTTTTTTTTTTTTTCTTATAGCTTTCATTAAAAGGATTAATGTGTTTTAAGGATGACTGTCATGGGTAACACTTCTATTTGAAGTTTTGCAAGTTCTGAAACACCCAAAATTCTGCTTTAAAAGCACAGTAAGCATGCTTATTGAAGGTGTTTGCTATGCACTATGCTGATGAAATCTAAATTTTGCAATATGGTCCTGCACTTTCTTAAATATGATTCTAGCAAGTGCAGAGTACTTAAAACTGACAGGTATAAGGTCATTTTGTGATGGGGATTTTTATCAATTTAGTAGGAACCAACCAATAAATAATTTCAAGAACTCTGCAGAACTGTGTGTAATAGTTGTCTTGTAGATTCTTTATGTATCTAACATTCGTAAACTACATGACAGAACACAGGTTCCACAGGGATTTTTACTTAGAAGCTCCCTTTCATATCAGTGAATCTGAGTTAAAATCTTTCATGATGTGTTTCCAGACATACCTGTATTCACTTGACTATGTAACTGGATGTTAACATAAGTAATAGATTTATAGATACCAGGTGTTTCCAGTGTCACTGTAAGTAATTCTCTGCATTAATGAAACACAAATAGCATAAACTGAGCTAATAACAAACTGTAAAATAAAGGATTAAGGATGCATAAATAATCTTAGAGATTAGAACTGTATCTTGTGCTCAAATTCTTTCTAGTGTCTCCACTCCAAAAGTGCTGCTTTGATTGAAACAAAACTAAGCATCAGAAAACTGGCCAAACCAAATTTTTCAGGCTGCACAAAGTAAAAATTTGTACTGGAACCACAAAAAAAATAACTTCTAAGTCAAGGCAAACTTTACTTAACTGTTCAAACATCAAAAAGCTAAAAATTCAGCCCCTAATTAAAATTCTTTACAATTTAAGTAGTACATTTGTCTATATTTTTATGGATATAAATAGAAATGTGTCTTAAAATCTGATTGTAGGCAGCTTCATGCTCATTTTTGCAATCAGCTGGCCTCAGTTACAGAAAACTGTCTTTGTGAAACCAATACAGGTCTATGGCAGCAATTTAATATTACAGCAACAGAAAGAGAAAATGACATTATCAAACATTTCTGTGGAAAATATCTTAAT